GGGGGGGATCACGAAATTTATCAAGAGTTATGAGAGGGGATCACTTCAATAAAATAACATCTAAAGGAGGGATCAGCTAAATGCTACTGTGTTTAGCCGAAAATCATCCAACCACCCCCGCCCCAACCCCGGGCGATGAATAATGACCGATCCCTAACCAAGGAAAATGGAACGATTTTCCCATCAAACCGGGCCAACTAAGAGGAATGACTCTTACCATTTTCTATTCCTTTCTCGAATCAACCACATGAATTGAAAATCTACGGAAGAGAGCTATGGCAACGAGCCGGTCTGTCAAAATGGAAGTAATGTTTCAAACCATAATGTACTTAAAGTGCAAAGAAGCCGCCATGGTGCAGTCTTTTGCTAGTCTGGATCCCGATATCTGTTCAGGATTGTTAGCCGTAGTTTTCACAGGCGTCCAATATTAAAGCATAACAAGCGGCGTAAATTAAAGCGAGTCCCGAAGGCGCAAGCCAACCTAGGGGGTCGGGAGGCATGTTCTTCCCCGAAAAAGTTTGAAATTGTAAGTTGCCGAAGACGGGATTTCATGCATTTGGGGGGGTGGGGGTAAAGTGTTACGGACAATAAGTTGTTTATGATCATAAAATTAGAACGCGGGAAGTAGCGCTGTTTCACCTTTTTAAACTGTATTTTCTTCTTGAAACGTCTCTTCTGTAAGTCTAGATTTATTGTTATGTGTGCAAATTTTAAAACTGGAACAGGTGGCTATATTCAATTTTACAGCTGGTGGAATTCTGGCGTTCTACCGAGAGCCCTGTGATTGATGTCAGTTGACATACCAGCAATCTAACCATCTCAACTGCTTGGAAACTGCAAAGTTACTGTTCAGCGCCTAGAGCAGGCATGGATAGGCTCTATATAAATATTTATTTGTTATTATTATTATTATTTAGAGTGCCAACTAGCTTCCATCAAGTCTGTATAGGCATGTGACATTTAGTGGTCTCTCCCCCTTTTAAGCTTTCAGTGATAACTGATCCCCCCTTCTGTTATCCTAAAAATCAAATGATCCCCCAAAATCAGTTCCCCGCCCCCCTAACTCTAGGGGTTAAATAATAACCAGTCCCTTAGACCCACTGCTGTCTGACTGGTCATTCTGGCATAATGGAAAGCACTCAACTTGTTAACTCCTGCAGTGGGGGAGGAAGGGGGGACTTCCATCAAAATGCATGGGGGTGCTCGTCAGAAATTTTGGAAAGAGCCTCCAAGAGGTACCAAGATACTATTTTGTGGGCGTGACTTGAATTTTTTTTGTAACCAGTTATGCTATGAAGATGACCACTACTTGTTCACCAGTGATTAAGCATTTGTGTGACACCAGTAAGGTAGCATCAGCTGACGAATCCCTGGTCAAGTGTCCCTTCACAGCACCTTAAAATAGCACGCAAACTCTGCTTAATTCAATGGTTTTTGTATGTTTANCACAGGCGTCCAATATTAAAGCATAACAAGCGGCGTAAATTAAAGCGAGGCCAGCTATCTCCAACACAAAATCTTTCTAAACACTGTATCTAACGTCGAGAAGACTCTTATTACCGTAAAATGTTTTTACAAGCTTGTAATATATTTCTTTTTGTTTTTTAACTGCATTGTCACTGAAAAGCCCCACCAGGTGAAGGTCACTAAAGTTATTGTTTTTTATCATTGTTATCATTAGTCCTTACCGCCCAACTCAATCAATAAAACATAAGCCCGGCGCATGATGGGAAGGTTGCATGCAATACCGTCTAATATACAACGGCTTTCTTGTATTCTATGGCATGGTATAAAACAGATTAGACTTAAAATGTTTCACCTATACCAGCAGACAATTTTGTCTTGTTTAAACTGCAAGGAAACACGAACATCAGTCAAATGTGCGATGCATGTACCTATCTTTTGGGGAGATCAGTGAAAGTCTCAATTTAGATTCCTACTGGCCACTATTTGTAACAATTACTTTTCAACGTGGACTGGCCCGCCTAGACTAGCGCTAGCTATCCGCCGGCCAGTCCAACTTGTAAAGTGTACATTAAGAAATAAAAAAACGATTGATTGACTTGACTGAAGAGAAAGCTGAACGCTTCAAATGTTTGAGACGATCACTTTAGTTAACCTGTCTGCATTAGGCCGACACTTTCCATGATCTCCTCTTTGTTTGAATTAACAAGCCTAGGCAATCTTCAACTTATATACCAGGAAATAGAAAGACAGTCAACTAAATCATAATGCTTTCATGTGTTCTAGTGTCATGAAATCACACTCCTCCGATCCAAAACTGGGTGGTTGCATCTGAGGTCGAAGAGCAACGGAATTTTGGATTTACAACCATATAGCGTCCAAAATTGTCCTCGCTTCCTACTCCATCACCGGTCTCACTTCCGTCGAATTCGCAGCCAAGCCTAAAAGAACTATCCATGTGTAGAGGAAAAACATTTTTTAGATACCAAGTCGCTGCCGTGCAATTCGCGCATTCATTTCCCCGGATGTTGACAAGCTCGTACGTTTGACAGCTTTCTGCGACCGTGGGTGTGACTCTGACGATGTCGAAGTCTTCAAGTGAGGCTCGCAGGTAATCCGTATATACCGTGCCGTCTGTGTTGTATTGGCAGGTAGCTCGCCAGTGAGTCGAGTGATCTCTGAGCCAAACAAGGTAATGCCGTTTAATCAGGTACGCCTGCCAGTTTGGGGAATCACCGCTGATCGCATTTGAATCCAGGTAATCGTAAAAGGCTACGATACCCTGAAGAATAAAATGAGAAATCCAAACAATAACAACAACACTCATGAAATGTTGTTTTTCTGCTCAACTTGTGAGACAAATTTAGTGAAGATCGAGAGCTAGACGAAAAGAGACGAAATTTCGAAAAGAGACGAAACTTCGTCGAGCCTGTTGACAAAAATATACGCGTGAATCGAGATCACTTGGCTAGAAGGGCCTCGAAAAGTTGACGAATTTGGCGAAAGTTTCAAATCTAAATAAGCTTCGTCAGGGCTGTTAAATTCAAGTACATAGATATCATTTGGCCAGAAGGGCCCTAGAAAGTTGACAAACGACGAGAGACGACGAATTTTGGCAAAGTGAAAACTCTGATGAAATTTCGCTAAAGCTGTTGACAAAGTTATTCAAGTAAATCGAGTTCACTTGGCCAGAATTGCCCCAGAAAGTTGAAGAACGTGGCGCAAACGATAAATTTTGGCAAATTAAGTGACAAATCTGTCGAACTTTTGCCAAAGCTGTTGACAAAGTTATTCAGGTAAATAGAGATCACTTGGCCAGATGGGCTCCAGAAAGTTGACGATCATGGCGAAAGCGAGAAATTTCGGCAAAGTGACAATCCTCCGTAGGAAAAAAGATGGCGACTGGTACATTTACCCGTAGTTCTTAGCGCACGAAAACCTTAACAACGTTCATAAAAAACGTACAGAAGAGTTATAAAATCTTCAAACCTAGCATACAAAATGTCCTTCGTACAGGGACAAATATTGTAAAAACTTGGCTTTCTTTGCACCTTATAGGCTGTGTTAGGTTCGCAAGGTATTGTGGTAAAATGTACAACCGACATCTTTTTTCCTACGGTGGATTCTGACGAAATTTCGCCAAAGCTGTTGACTAAATCATTCAAGCAAATAGAAATCCCTTGGCTAGAAGGGCTCCGGAAAGTTGACGAATAAGGCAAACACGACGAATTTGGCAAAAGTGAAAAATGTGACAAAATTTCGCCAAGAATGTGGACGGAAGTATACGAGTGAATAGATATTAGGTAGCTAGAAGGGCCCCTGAAAGCAGACTAATGTGACGAAAATGATTATTTTGGTAAAAGTGGCAAATTTGATGGACTTTTACCAAGCCTTTTCAGATAATTAGTCAAGTTAATAGACCCTTTACATGTGAATGGAAAGAGTTTGTAGAAGGGCACCATGAATTTGGCATAGTTGATAATGCTTGTCGCAAACGCAAACTTTTATTGGCAGTAAGAATTTTAAGTTCATGAAGCGACACTTGTCGCACACATTTTCCACATACGGTCAAACACAGGTATGATGGCTGATAGCCGCGAGATTCAGTGAACCATTCAGAAAGCCAGAAATATATTAGCCGAGGTTTTGGAATTTAATAAAGTAGAAATGACGTATAGCTGGTTTTCACATGACGTCACTAAAATTCGAACTACAAAACTATTGATCTTCCTGAGATTGTACTTAAATGATGCATAAGAGCAGCTGAAAACTAATATTCATACAAATTTTCGCTCCGAATGGGTTCATGGTTTTGTGATACACTACGCTTAAA